AAGATCTGACATTAACACCAAATTCATAGAAGGAAAACAACAATTGGCTGTTTTTTTCGGAATCTAAAGGACTTATATATACTTTTTGATGTAAGTATTCACATCTTATCTAGACTATAAAGAACACAAATACACATAGAGCGCAAAATACATCTTCAACAGTAGGCAAGTTTTTATACACTTTGTCAAGTTCTAAATCCCCTTACGTCTATGATTATAGTCAAATAGAGTTACCTTATTTTGGAATAAAATGTGACTTAAAAAACCAAAACATTAAGAACCCCCCTCCCCCCCAAAAAAGAAACAATTTTACAGAAAACCTGTATGTATGCAGCGTCATTCACATCAATAAAACAAATAATTCATTTTTTTCTGTTGTTTCTTTTGAATTGTTTTATGCGAGGTAACTTTTACGGAAACAAATTATATATAGCGCGCACAAAGTATCATATTGTGCGCCCAAGGTATTATTTTGTGCGACCAATTTAATAATTATAAGTGTGCACAATATTGTATTTCCTGGAAATATTATTTAATAATTTGTGCGCATAATATATGTTTATTTTCTGAGTAAGTCCCCAATAGGGTTTCGCAAGATTCTGGCCCTTTTGAGAATCCCGTTTTTAAAGTGTTACCAAAGAAACGTGACCTAAAGCTCTGTGCGGTACGGCTTTCAACAAATAAGCAAAACTCGTCGGCTATAAAAGCACTTTTTAAGAACACGTAAAACAAATAAAACGAGAAACCCAATGGCCAGACAAAAACATGACAAAACAAGTAACACAAACATATTTGACAGACAGACAGCAACCAAGCTCTTATTATAGGCATCATGGTTTGGAATAGACACACATATATGATAATGCTTTTGTGATAGGGCGGGGGCATGACGAGTTTTACTTCTTAACGGTTGCATGAATGGCAGATTATTTGTTTTTGTTCCAAATATTTATTATCCACCTTGTGCGTATTTATATCCTGCTAATTGATATGCAGAATTTATTTATTATCATTCTGTTTTGGAAATTTAAAGATTATATCATCACTTAATTTATCAAGAAAATTAAATTGTCGTCATCTAACAGTTTCAAACGACTGAATTTAATATAAACATTTTCTCGTCCTGAATATTCATTGAATAATTGCCACTGGACGTGAATCAAAAACCAATTAATCAATCTAAAAACTAATGACAATTTGTTTTATAAAGTCTTTATAGGTCGTCTTTCATCTACATGTATCGCTAAATAAACTTCACTATACAAACAATACGTATCATTGACTCTAACTCTTTGCGCTTTATTATATACGGATTGTTCTTATGTCCAAGACATCATAGCTGATTACTTTGAATTTGAATGTTGATAGACAGTTACAACAGAACATTCAGTATAATAAAATAACACAAAGATGAGAGGTTCACTGAACAGATTGTTGTCCCTAGAAAATTCTTCAACACATATCCATGATAAATGATAATAATAATAATAATAATGTAAAAAATATTGATTATGTGTCTGTAATAAAAAACACCAATACTTGGCTTTTTTATGTTCACAGAAGTTATTTGATTAATTTCACCTATAATTAAGTCAACAGCAAATTATTAGGGCTGTGAAAATCAACATGTGACCAAAGACACGTGATTAAGCAGAACAGAGACAGCTAGTAATTATCGGTATATTCTTTTATCTAATTAATTTGATTATTAATTTTTATATGATTAATCTTGTTTTTTTCGGTGACCATATGTCGCTGAAATCTTTTTGACATCATAGATTTGATGAAGACAGAGGTAAATAATGTTTTGTTATTTGTTCGTATGAAATATATTTCAAATGTTTATTGTGAGGATTTTCCTTTTTAATATATCAATCTTTTTAAAAGTTTGTAATACATTGATAGTGTATAAATAAAGGAACCAAAAAAACAGCAGAAAAAGAAAAACAGAAAAGGCTGTTTCCTTGTTTTTGAGATATAAATGTAATCAATTGGAATTTTGAGGGAACTTTTCTCTAGATTTTTCGTACATTTAACCTTGGCACTTTTTTTCTTTCAAAATATAAGAAAAAGAACAAGAATTTGATAAGATTGAAAAAGATGCCTTTTTTTACTTGTATGTAATAAAAATTATAAAAAGAAATGTAGGGGTAAAGCGGGCGACTGTTTTAATTACACTATACACCGATAAAACCAGAGGATTCCGAATATCTGACAAAAAGTCAAAAACAAGAGTAGCGACCATCTTTAACATACTTACTGCTGCATTTGCTTAGAAGAAAGTTTTAATTTTGATCAACAGCTATTTTAGAAAATAGTTAAATTAAATTTCTGTAAACAAAAACAAGTGTCATACAACTGTCATAAAAGTGGGAGGTTTACCTGGCTAGAAAGTTTAAACCCGGTTTAACGCCTGTACCAAGTCAGGAATATGGCAGTTATTTTTCACTTTTGAAGACGATGTTAGAATATGTAACAGATGAAACTAAGCAAAATCAACATAATGAAACAAAAGACTACTAGCAGTTATTGACATGCCAACTCCAGACCTCAATTAAACTGATTGAAAGATTATGTCTTAATCATATGAAAATCAGACACAATCCCTCCCGTTATAGGGGTTTAGTATCATACCATCATAAAATATATGAGAAGAACATAACGCGTATCATGCCAACTGGCTTTAGAATAAATGTATTTATTTCCGATGCAAAGACAAAAAAAGTTTATATATAAGCGAAATCAATTTAAAAGCAGATAAATGTATTTTCAATCATTTCATATCATTTTTCTAATGATTTTATTAGTTTGGTCATTTTTCCAATGTAGTATGTGAAGGTAAAGTTATGTTTAGTACTTTTATTTCCAGAAAAATGGGCGGTTTTAAAGGAGGATATATGTTTCTTATCACATTAATAATTGGCGGGGTAAATTCAAATTTTAATCCAAAAGGTATGTACAATGCTAAATTTTGTTATTATTGTTTGTTGATTTTATTGCTAGACTCAAGCTATACCAACCACTCGCTAACAGTCAGTATTCAGATAAACATGTGACTAGAAACATACGATGCAGTCCGGTAATTCCGCCCACATAAGGCTTTGATCGTATGTATTTCTGCTTAAATATATACAAATTGTATCAAATTTAACATAAATCTATTCACTGACATCTTAATTTTGAGAATTTTATCTCATTTCCCCAAAAATATCTGAAATAAATTTAAAAATCAACAAAACAAGTGGGTCATCTGTGTTTTTATCGGAAATGTGTTTGTCCGGTAAATCCGCCCATGCGCAGTAAATGTGTATGTAGGGCCAGTTTATTACATAATTATGAAAGGAAAGTGGTGATTTATTTATAGACCACTTATAAAGGGATTACAGACAATCGAAAAAAGAAAAAGAATTTCAAGTCAGAAATAATTTTGTAAGCAATAATATGATTATCAATTAAAATTAGCTTTAGGAATTGTACTATAGATATCACTCGATATTTTCTTAATAAAGGATTTTTCTTTAAAGTTGACATACAGTGAGGATGAGTACAGTTCCTATGAATAAAAAAGCAGACGAAATATTCACGGAAGTGACAATTACGGAGGTAAATGGAAGTGGGCGGGTTTACCAGACGGGCGGAATTACCGGACACTACTGTAAATGTTGCAACTTTGAAAACGTGATATGACATTTTTTTTCATATGAAATGTACGCATTTTATGTTAAGCAACAAAAATCGTCTCTACAGAAACAGGCGCGTATGAAAATCCAGAAAAAAATGGGAACCAAAAAAGATCTTACAGTTTAATGGGGAGATTTTTTAAATTTTTTTCAGTGACTGTACACGAATGCAGCAAATCTAAAGTGACACTTGAAGTAGAAAGGGCTGCTGAAGGAGGAATCATTTATATTCAAGGTCAAGGGTCAGCATGTCTTCAGACGACAACTTTTACTTCCCGCCATTACGAATTCCATTTTGACATATGCAATATTACATATGTAAGTCTTACCTACAATACAAATTAGGGAAAGGAGACTGTATAAAAACACCATTGCGTTTGACTAGCTGCTTAAAGTTTAATATATATATAAAGTGCACCACTTCGCATCAAAAGATTCCACCGTACCATTCGGAGATCGAAGCTGGATCTCCTGGCACAGTCATTTTAAGACACTTCTCCTTTTAGCGTTCATGTAAAATACTTAAATAATCATTTAGTTTTTAGAATATTTGAATTAATTTTTCAAAGGTAAGTAAAAATACAATCTCACTATGCGTTTATCCTAAACATTACGCATTAAAAATGTGTAGATACATGAAATACTCTTCAGACGCAATTTGCCGGTTTAGAACTTAAAGAACTATGGATGATTTCATAGTTTGTATCCCATGAAAATTGTTCACGACGTTGTTATTCGTTGATTGATTGATTGTTGGTTGCTAAACGTCCATTGGCAAACGTTTCATGCATGTTCTGGACGAGAACAAATTAAAAAAAAACAACAATAGTTAAGTCCTATCAGAGAGGCCGTCCGGGATGAAGGTGGGGAAAATTTAGACTGCCACTGGAACATGAGGGTATATTGGATAGGGACAGAAATATAGCATTGCAATAGGCCACCTACAGACTTCTCAAAGAGTTGTTACGACAGATTTTAGCGTGCATAGAGCATGACACACATTTTACACGAGGCATCAGATTTAACATCCCATTCTTACCTGACGGAACTGCGTACTTGTACATCCCGCACAGCCAAACGGACGCCCAACTTTAGCAAGGGATGTAGTACCGGCCGAAAGAAGACCTGTAGTTACCATATTTATATTCCCCTGTCACCTTTGGGGGTTGTTTATCATTGGCTAATCACAACGTTTTGGGTTTTCTGTTTTGAAATATTACCCTGAGTGCCTTATATAATGAAACGGTGAATTAATTGCTGTTGAATTTAGATGAATTATCATTCCTTTGTTGGCGAGATAAAACGTCTGTTTACTTTGCAATGGTAGCAATGGTATATCTCAAAACCCCATTATTCTCTGTTCTTTATAATATTCTTTTGGACTATTTTTCTCTATTCTTTATTTTTTGTCCAATATTTCTTTATTTTTTGGCCAATTTTTCTCTATTCTTTACTATTTGGACCCTTTTTCTGTAACGTAGGTTCTTAATTCTCAGCCATACCCTTTACTAGTGTGTTATATGGAATATCAAGTGTCAATAGTATTAAAATTTATGCAAAGCGAAATTAACTTAGAAACATACAAATACGTCATCTATCGTTATGACAAACATAGTTTCATATTTTTCATGTCGGGGCCTTTTAAAGCCGATCATACGGTATGGGTTTTTCTCATTGTTGAAGGCCGTACGGTTGCCTACAATTGCTTACATCCACTTCATTTGAACTTTGGTGGATAGTTGTCTCATTGGCAATCATACCACATCTCCTTATTTTTATATACACAAATATTAAATGTCATGCACAGAAATATAGTGATAAACTTTTTGTTTGGATATATATCAGGCCAGTTAAAACATGATTGCTATAGCATTAACACATGTACGGCATATGTGCACGGAGTATCCATTCATAATTGCGTCATTGATGACAATCAATTTGCAGTACACCTTTGCATCAGAATTGCTTCATTTTTGACAACCAATTTGCAGTACACCTTTGCATGATATGTTTTCGAATCTTGCGTATTCCTTTAGATTATTGTGTCTCTTTTATTTTCTAGATGAAAATATGTAGTTATATAGAAAATATTGAACAGATCCATATTTTGCTCTGTGGTCTCTCGAATGCGAGAGGTCTTGAGTTCGATCCCTACCTGGACAAAAAAAGAAAGAAAAACGGTCTAAGCGAGTCGATCTCGTGTAAAGCAGGGTTCATACGCATATACATATCCTATTATCATAATATTGCCACGAATATGCATGCGATACTTGCCGCTGGAAAATAATAAATCAATAAAAATGTCACCCTTGTGATAGCAAAAAGGTTCTTATTTAACTTTTGAGTTTTCATGTTTCATTCTCCTTTTTTCAATTTTTTTTAATAAAAACGTTACATGTGTCCTACAGAGTGAATAATCAGTCAACTTTGAATGATAAATTTATCTATATTGATGCACGAAGAATGAACTATTTTATTCCAATTTTTCAAATACCAAAAAGGATAAACTGCCCAGTAGTCAGCACTTCAGTTTTGACATGAATTATCATTGATATGGTCACACTAATGTTCATTATAAATTAATTTAAAAAAAAAAAAAACTTTATTTAAATAATAAGGATATTCGATCCCAGAAATAATTACATTAGCTTTATTTGGCAAAACTTGTCGGAATTTTGGTTCCTCAATGCACTTCAACTTCACACTGTTTTTGTATTCTTTTTATTCGAGCGTCACTGGTGAGTCTTTTGTAGACAAAACGCGCGTCTTGGGTACAACATTTTTTGATATCTTTGCTGAGTTTAATATTAACACCTAGTTAATTGTTGTTTTGTAGGGTACAGTATTCCGTGTGATTGTCCAGAAATATCCTACAATCCAGACCGGATATGACAAAGTTATTCCGGTCACGTGTTTAGTCGATCTAGCAGAAATAGCAGTAATCGAAGAGGTTCACCCAAAGTGAGTTTTCTACAAATAACAAAACAATGTGTAACAGATTTTACATAGCCGACTATACGGTATGGATTTTCTTATTGTTGAAGGCCACAAGGTTACCTATAATTGCTTACATCTACTTCATTTGAACTTTGGTAGAAATTTGTCTTAATTGCAATCATACCACATCTCCTTATTTTTATATTTACATTTATATTCAACTTGCAATGAAATATAATATACGAACCTTTGTATGCTTCTGCATGACGGATATGAATGTGAAGTGCAGGTCATGTTTAACATTTGTCATTCCGCGGCCTTTTAAAGCTTGTTATGCGCAATCGGTTTTGCTCATTGTCGAAGGCCGTAAAGTGACATAAAGTTGCTAACTTCTATGCCATTTGATCTCGGATGGCGGGTTTTCTCATTGGCAGTCATACTACATCTTCTTGTTTTTATATTTTAATTTGAGTAATGACTTACAAAGGGTATGTGAATTGCAGTCTTCTGAGTGATCCCCACATGCCATAGTTTTTCCCAATTTGAATGCATATGATGCGTGTTAATGTGTTACTTGGTTATTTGAAAGTTAATTTGTAAACGTCCAGTGGCAAACATTTCATAGATACTTAGGACGACGAGTGTTTCTTTGATGTATTCAATATTGTTGATTGACGTCCAGTGGCAAATATTTCATTATATCTAAGACGGGTGCTACTTGAATAATTATGATTAACTTATCGTGCAGTGGCAAATATTTCATGTATATTCAGTACGACGGGCGATGATTAAGTAATGTTTTTTTTATGATAAAATGCAAATAAATCGGAATACCCTGGATTCATGTATTACTATTCCAGAAAGGACGATGACATTGGTGTTAATATTACTACAAAACCTGTCGCAAATCTACGAGTTTATACCAGCAGTAAAAATGACATTAGCGGAGGCGGTGTAGTCAATCTCAACGACTCAATTGCAATGACAATTACACTGGCAGATGACTTTACGGGTATGTACTACATCGACTTAAATATTAAGTTTTTAGGAAGTTCGCTACTCCTGTTTTGGCATAGTGTAAGATATTCGGAGTCCTCTGGTTTTATCCATGTAGTGCTGATCAATAGTTTGCCCGCTAACCCCTACTTTCCTTTTCATAATTTTATTACATATAGTTTAAAAAGTCATATTTGAAAATCTGATAAAATTGTTGTTATTTTTTGATAGTTTTTGAAAGAAAAAAGGTGCCAATGTTAAATGTATGAACAATCTAGAGAGAATCATTTCCCGCCAATTTTTAAATGGTTCATATCTCAAAAACAAGGTGACGGACCCTTCGTTTTTTTTCTCCGTTATTTATATCAAAGTATTTTAAAGAGCTTGTTTTTTTTTCAAACAGAATAGAGAACATCCTTCAATTCAATGTGGTTATTTAGTGGATAAGTTAAAACGACGGTAGTTGACTGTTGTTGGGTTATTCTCATGTGTGTGCATTATTTAGCAACAGTCACTGCTTTGTACGAATTCTGATACTCTAATACTCGCAAACTATCTGAGATACTATTTCAAATGAAACCTAATACGAACATTGGTCAAATGAAAGCTTAACCTTTTTTTCTTTTTTTGTGTTTAAGTTATACTGCTTCTTTTCAACGAAAAGGATTTTCAAAATGAATTTTAAAGTTAGATTATTATTTACTTTTGATGCACAATAACCTATTGAGGAGTAAAACATGTTTTATTACGTATATAAGAATGTTATATACATTAGTACCTTAAGTTTCAGCTTTTACAATCATTTTGTTCTTCATTTAACCATTTTAGACACGTATGATATAAAAGCAATAGAGTGCACTGCCGCTATGGTTAATATAATAGAAAACGGGTGAGTACATATTCAAGGGAATCAACTCCCCAATGCTTACCTTTCCGAAACACTCATCGTCTTTTGAGCTGCTGTCGATGTTGTCTTTGATCTCTCGAATCATGACATTATACTAGGTATTCATACCTACCTCATATAAAATATCAATACATTAATTGGTAAGGGTCTTTATTTGTAGGTGAGTAAGGAAAGGAGAGATTCTCCATTTTTTAAGGTTTTCGTGCTATTTTTTTTTAATTTCTTTGCCCATACGTCTTTTATTTTTTATTATGTATATTATAGCTCCCCATTATACTCTATTCCTTATTTTTTGGCTGCCCATTTTCTCTATTTTTTATTTTTTGGCTGCCAATTTTCTCTATTTTTTATTTTTTGGCTGCCCATTTTTTCTATTTTTTATTTTGTGGCTGCCCATTTTCTCTATTTTGTATTTTTTGGCTGCCCATTTTCTCTATTTTTTATTTTTTGGCTGCCCATTTTCTCTATTTTTTTTTATTTTTTTTGCCTATTATTCTTTATTCTGTCAAACTAATCTAGACATCCATTATATTTGGTAGATAAACAAATCAATAAATGAATAAGATTTGCACTTTTAATACAATTGGAAATACGCATAGCAATTTACGTCAATAAGACAGCAACCAAACGATACAAATACTATAACATTTTGTTCATTGTTGAAGGCCGTACGGTGACCTATAGATGTTAGTTTCTGTGTCATTTGGTCTCTTGTGGAGAGTTGTCTCATTGGCAGACAAACCACATCTTATTTTTATTGTCAATAGCATTAACTTATGTTTCTACAAGTAAGTTGTTTTCGTAGGCTTAAAATCATAGAAATGAATAACAGAAAAGTGAGTAAATTAACCTCACATTTTGATACAAGCGTTTATCGTGGTCATACAGTTAAATCATGATTGTTAAACTTAATATTTACATCTCCTTTATATGTAAATAAGTGATCAATTTCACGATTGGTTCTGACTTTTTTGTTCTATATGGCTTTCTTTAAAATTTGTTTTACGATCTATTATCCAATCTGCAGCCTGAATTTAGTCATTTAAATTGAGTATGGAAATGGAGAATGTGTCAAAAAGACAATAACCCGACCAAAGATCAGAAAACAGCCGAAGGCCACCGATGGGTCTTCAACACAGCAAGAAAATCCAGCACCCGTAGGCGGGCTTCGGCTAGACCCTTAACAAAAATGTTAATCACTATACAATATAAAAAAGAAGATGTGGTATGATTACCAATGAGACAACTCTCCACAAGAGACCAAATGACAAAATTCATTTTTTGTTCTCTTTTTTCTATGTCATACCATATATTTTGATATTTTTCCTGTATTGTAGCTGCTCTGTCGACATGGAACTATTTCCAAATTTTCAACATTTATCCGATGGAAAGTTGACGTCAAATTTTCAAGCATTCCAACCAACTGATTTGACAGGAAAAGAGGAAGTAGATGTCGCTTTTTCTTGTCGTCTGGCTGTATGTAAAGGGAAATGTGATAACGTAAGTCGTAATTTGAAATAACCCTAGAATAACCGTTTCAATTCAATAAAGAAAAGAAATTCGTACACCCATCATGAAAGCGTATTTTGACTTTCTTCAACAGAATATAAAAAAAAAACAGTTCTACCTAGTTATGAAAGTATATACATTTAATGATATGAATTGCACGCATCACATACTAGTATGAGGCATATATATATTTATTTGCAGACTGTCTGTGACAAGAATATAGGTCGTGGGAGAAAAAGGAGAGATACAAAGGACAACAAAATTGACGAAATTACATGCGGAACGTCTATAAAAGTGGCAAACCGCCAGAAAAATTACAACCTGCAAGGTAATGTATTCCTTTTCTTTTAATTCAATTGCTATGTTTTGCATTTGATTATCATAATTAAGTAGTTTTGTTAATTATTAACAATAGAATACATTTCATAATCAATCAAAGTTATTAATCAATTTTACTATGTAAATCATAATAAAACTCATAAAAGGATAAAGCTGATGTCCAGTAACAATCAAAGGTCCTTTTTACCAAAAGGGTACTTGGCTAAGATGTGAACGGGACTTTTTACTACTTTTTGTTTCTATAAATATTTTAATGTGTTCAAGATAGGAAAAACCAAGAGAACTGTTTCGAACTAATTTTTACATGTTTATGTCTAAAGAAAATAAAACAATTCACGGACTTGTATAATTTTTCAAATTTTATTTTGATCTAAATGTATTATTCCTTTTCTCTGTTTGATCTATTTTTCTTTTTGATTAGTATAAAATGCACCCTTCAGAGTGCATGTTGATCTGTGTCCTTATTGGTATGTCTTTATTTTGGAGGAGTGAACGGTTGCCGCACGTAATTATATATGTATTATATTTTATTATAACCAATTAGAAATATAGCATGAATCTAGGGCAATATGTAAGGTCATGTCAAACCAGACACCGTATTTGTACAGACATTGCACCCTTTGCCAAATAGGTCTAGCTCTTCCCGGGTCTTAATGTATTTTATTTTCAGAGGAGTGAGCTGTGGCCGCAAGAGGTTATATATATATTCTATTTCATTATATCCTTATTTAAGTATAGCAGGAACGCAGAGAAAAGATAAAATTTATATATAATTATTTCAGAAAGTCCTGTCGAACCAGATACCGTATGTGTACAGACATTGTCAGCATACTTTGGTCTGACTCTTGCCGGAATCCTGTTTTGTTTGTCATGGATGCTATCAGGATATCTGCTTCGACAACGACTCGTAGACAACTCTGAAAATAAGAGAATGAACGTTGCTAGGGCTGTTGGCAGACGGCTGACTTCTATGTTGAACCTCCCGACCGGATATGACCTTAAAGAATCTAAGAGATTTGTTACTATACCTAGCTCTACTGACTCTACGCCTCCACAAAGAAGAAAGTCGGTTACGGTATGTTTTATATAGCGATAGTATTATTTATTTGAATAGGGGTTTCCACCTGTTTACTCTCATAACCGTTGTCATTTAGAAAGTGTTTTTTGAATTGTTTTATCCGTTGTTAAATTTTGGTAAACCAACAACCTTACTTCAAAAACTAAACAATCTCTATCGCATACAGCATTTGTTTCTCATTTGTTCAAGGTAAAGTATTAAACGTTAGTGAAATTTATCAGTAATAAACGTTTAATAAAAATGTCATTTAATTGACAAAAACATGTGCATGTTATTACATTAACGTCAAAAGTAAAATAAAAAAAATACCGAACTCCGAGGAAAATTCAAAACGGAAAGTCTATAATCAAATGACAAAATCAAAAGCTCAAACACATTAAACGAATGGATAACAACTGTCATATTTCTGACTTGGTACAGACATTTCCTTATGTAGAAAATGATGGACTAAACCTGGTTTTATAGCTAGCAAAACCATCTCACTTGTATGACAGTCGCATAAAATTCCATTATATTGACAACAATGTGTGAACAAAACAAACACACATAGTAGGTACAAATGTCAAAAATAGGGGTAAGGTAGACTACCAATATCGTGAAAGACTGTTTGTTGCCTTCTTGAAGTTTTTGGGTTATTTTTGTCTTTGGGTGGTTACTGTCTCATTGACGTACATTTCACATTTTCTTTATTCCTTTTTATGGGTTTTACATTTTTGACCAATAATTTGGAGTATAAACTGTGTAAAAGAACCCAGGAACTTTAAAAGACAAATGTCAGTGTAACAGTTTACCGAGATCAAACATACAATATTGTAAATTTTATGTTTAATATATATATACTGTAAATTTAGATATTATTGCGAGGTTTTTATTAATGAGAATAATGCGATTGGCTGGGTATCGCAATAAAAAATACTCGCTTTCTGATATCTGATGCATATATCTGTATGCAGCTTTTCTAGAAATCACCGAAATTAATCTCGCATTTATTATAAATAAGAAGATGGGATATGAGTGCCAATGAGACAACTCTCCATCAATTTATGTCCACTCTTCAAAAATCACAATAATAAATGCACGCAATAATTTCAGAATTTACAGTAATGTAATATTTGTTTACTTTCAGGCCACCAAGATTGATATTAAATCCGAAGATTGACGACGCCGTATTCACCATCGCCTCGTGTTTTTTGTGTGTGTAGAAAACATTTATAGTATTAAAACTGGAACAAGTACTGTCTGACTGATACTTTGTCAAAAATATGTACATTAATTGTCTTGATCATTATGGAACGTTCAAGATATCAGGGTTTGTGTTAAGGTAGATGGGGGTCTAAATTAAAATCCATAATTTTTTTTAATAATATGCCAAAATGGAGTTTATATTATTCTTTTTTTTCAAAAAAAAAAAAATAAAAAGTATGGGTCACCAGGCTTTTTTTTCACACTACATTTAGTTCAAAATTGTCACTTTGTATAGATTGTGCATGTAAAACCCAATTTTGTGTGATAAAAAGAAATCGTCATAGTCCGTCGTCGTTAACGTTTAAAAAAATCTTCTCCTCTGAAACTATTGGGCCAAATTTGACGAAAATTCGCCACGACCTTCAATAGGGTATCTTGTTTAAAATATGCATGATGACCCTGTCTACCAAACAATATGGCTGAAATGGTTAAAAATAGAACATAATGGTAACATTCAAGTTTTGTCTATTATCTTAAAAACCGCTGTAGATAGAGAAAATCTGACAAAATAGAAATGCTCTAAATGATGTGATCTTCGTATTGTTTATTTCATCAAAACTGTCAGACGACTTCTTATTGGAGTTATTGCCCTTAAATGACGAAATTTAGCAATGTTTTATATTTTTGCCTATTATATTGAAACTTATAAAAGATAGAGAGAAAAGTAGATAGAGAAAACTAAAAACAGAAAAAAATTATCAACAAAAAGAGATACATTCTATTTTAGTCCACATTGTTAGAGAGTGTCCATTGTTGAATATTATTATTTTCATTAATTATCAAGGAAACGTTCAACTGAAATATTGGTTTATATGTAAAAGTCAATATAATTATTTTTAAACGTTTAATTTATTGTTCTATCTTATGGTTTCTTGTTTTTCATTAGAGACGGAAAAACGAAATAACTGATGCATTTTTCATACTTAACACTTTGACTTAACGTATGTATTGGTTGTATACTGTAGTGCATTAATAAAAGGCGACGAAACAGGATTCAAATTGAATTATCTACCTTTTAACCAGAAAAAAAAAATCTGAACATGTAAACCTTAGTCAGGAGCCTATTGTTCAGTGGTTGTCGTTTGTTGGCGTGGTTCAAAGATGTTTCTCATTTCTCGTTTTTTATATAGATTAGACCGTTTGTTTTCCTGTTGGAATTGTTTTACACTAGTCATTTTGGAGCCTTTTATAGCTGGCTGTTCGGTGTGAGCCAAGGCTCCGTGTTGAAGGCCATACTTTTACCTATAATTGTTAACTTTTCATACATTGTGACTTGGATGGAGAGTTGTCTCATTGGCACTCATACCACATCTTCTTATTTATAATAACTCTAACGAGAAAATCCGCAATTGCTACAGGACAAGAAAAAAGGAATAAAACGTTTGGAACCATATACATTGAAAACAATTATAAACACATATATTTTGAATTAGAATAAAACAAAGATCCATTGAGACAATTATCCAGAAGAGTTCGCATGACCTGGGTTTTTAAGTAATTTAGGTTACTCTACGGTTTTCGATCATTAGGAAAACCTATACCATAGATTGAGCTTTAAAAGGCCCCGACATGACAAAAGTGTAACAATTCATACAATAAAGGCTGTTAAGACTGTTCCTACATTTTTTATACTTCGTGTGTATTGCCATATCATAGGTAATACACATTAAATATAAACAATTCAAACATAATTCTATTTCTTTGTCCTATCTGTTTAATATGCAGACATATACTTTTTATTCCTGATGTACATTAATGATATTGTCAATTACATATATCTGTCAATCATCGTGTTTTACATTTCTTTGTTACTTGTCATTTAAAGGGTTATGAAGTTTCTTTAACCTACATTTTGTCTAGCTAATAACGTTGAATTATTCATTTAGTCTACTCCAAATAATTGTTGATACACGTAGTATTTGAAAAGAAAATTCGTAGTAGATTTCAATATACATGATGATCACTGTTTTCATGCCGAAGGTATGCGGTTCTCTCCGGTCACTCCAGTTCATCCACCAAAACAAAAAGACAAAACTGGCCGCCGCATAATAATCAATAGGGCTGAAAGTGACGTTAAGCATGAAAAATAAATCAATAAATCAATCTATACATGTAACTGTATATTGTACACAGATAGGTATTTTCACACTCTTTTAACCCATCATGCCTGATATGAATCAATGAAATGATTTGTTTTCAATTCCTTCCGTTGGTTCATACTGTCGAGCGTTTGATTTTGCCAGGTTTTATTGAATTCCTCCTTTTTTGAATTTATCATGGAGCTCGGTATTTTTGTTAATATTTTTTTTCCTCCAAACGTTCACTTATATAAAAAAAAAGATTGCCAATGAGACAACTCTCTACAAGAGACCAAATGACACAGAAATTAACTGATATAGGTCACCGTACGGCCGTCAACAATGAGCAAAGCCCATACCGTATAGTCAGCTATAAAAGGCCCCGAAATCACAAATGTAAAATAATTCAAACGGGATAACTAATGGCCTAATTAATGTACAAAAATGACCGAAAAAAAAATATGTAACACAGCAACAGTTAACGACAAACACTTAATTACAGGCTCCTGATTTGTTTTTATCCTACAACTAAGTCCTAACACTATCACGTGGGGTCCATATGTTTGTTTGCTGGATCATAACAAAAAGTTAAAAGCATTATGATGCAACAACTGGGAGACAGTATTACCTCTCAGATCTATTCTAACCTCATTACATGTCAGAGATAGCTGATAAACATCATTGAGGACATACTGTTTTGGAAACTTCTGCTAAAAAGAAAAAATTTACCTACATTTGTTTGTAATAGATAATTGAGATCAGAGGTTTTTCATTTTGAATTTAATTAAAAGTAAAATCAAATACACCGAAAGAAAAGGATATTTAATATTAATCAATTAATAAAAATATTGCACATAATTATATATTTCGTTACTACAATGTATGTCATTAGAACACGCTCTAAACATCCTGTCATTGCTACATGGCAAAGTCCAAAATGTCCATATGTTAACTACCCAAAGAAAGAAAACCGTCTAATTGTTACAAAATTATTATAAAATACACGTTTAAAAAAATCAACATTGTGATTCATCTTAACCAAAAAAAAAGGGAAATGTATTGTAAAATACCTTAGAGTCTTTTCTTTTATACAAACGTACGAAAAAAGCATTTTTTTCAAACCTGACAGATTTTGTTCTTCTAAAAGACACTATCAGATTTAATGAAAACTTAAAATCAGTTTCATTAAAAGTCTCATATCGAAACTTACTTCCAAATGTGAATAAAACATTCCAATGAATAGAGTAATAATTCATAAATAGCCACGAAGCCATTGCATGTTGTCTCGGCGAAGACTACTATATAGTGACGATACAAAACCATATGTTTAAAATCAAGTACATGTTACGGAAAGGCCATATCCTATCTATTTTGTGGTTATTAACAAGACAATGATTAATGATTACATGTTTGATATATAAAGGAAGACCCAGATCAAACACTTATTATTACAAACGATGAGCGAACGGTATTTTTTAACATTTCTGTCTTTGTATCACATATCAATTTGAGGTCCTTGTCGCTGTCCGCATTAACGCAATGTCAAGTTCTATAAAAATCATACCACATTTCCTTTTTTTCTTGTAAGAAAACCAAGTTTTTTGTTAAAAAACTAAACGTTATAGTGTAAGGACTTAGTTTCCGGATAAAAAAAATATTTATTTTCATTGTCGAAAAAATAATAGTGTACTCGCTACAAAACAAGAGTACAACTCTGTAGGAGTCGCATTTCGTCTTAATGTAAGGCTGTTACATTAACTGATATATTTTATTCATAATATAATTGTTGAACAAATACTGTCTACATCAGTCACAACTATGTAATAAAATTGTCGGCCGTGTCATTTCAGCTCCCGTTATATCAGGGGCTGACATTAGCGGTATGTAGTGATATTTAAGTTTTGTTTTGTGCTCCTTTTAAAGCAAATTTTGACTCCCTTGGACGAAGTATCAAATGTTATATTGATTCCTGCGGCTGCGAAGGCGGCGAAATGTCAACATTTTGTTAAAGTTTGTAATTAGTTCAGTTTTAGGGGAACTTGTAATGGTATGAACATTCTATTTGGAATGCAGTTGAAGTAGGATATGCATGTCTAATTTTCATAGAGATTGTACTAGTTATGGTTCATTGACCTATGAATTTTAAAAATTGAGAATGAATATTGGGAATTTGTCAAAGAGACAACAACCCGACCAAAGAGTAAAACAAACCAGCCGCAGGCCACCAATGGGTCCTCAACACAGCGAGAAAATCCCGCACCCGGAGACGGACTTCAGCTGGCCACTAAACAAAAATGTGTACTAGTTCATTTAAAATGGACAGCACACTAAACTCCTAAACTAAAATTAAAAAGCATAAAAAACTAACAAAGGCCAGAGGCTCCTGACTTGAGACAGGCGCTAAAATGCGACGGGGTTAAACAGGTATCCCAGCAAACACAAAAACATCTTTAAAATGTTTTTAAAATGTTGTGTCTAATGTCATGAAAATATCACAAAAAAACGTGAGAAAAACATTAAATGTATGGTAGAATATATATCGCTAAAACGTTGAAATATCATGATAATGTGAAAAACAATGGCGTATAAAACATTTTGATAATCTTTTAAAAAATATTTTCTAGAAATATTTTCTGAACGTTTGAAAAACATCATGAACATCAAATAATGTTATAAAAATGTTTTTTGGATGTTTTCTTGCAAGTGAGACTGTGCCTAAAAAATGTTTTCAAAATGTTTTAAGAAGATGTTTTTGGTTGATATCTAGATCATATCAATATAAAAATTTCTGTACTTTTGATTGAGTTTCCTGCTTTTTTAAATAACAAATCATTAGTTAAATTAATTTATACACAGTGATTAATTCTATATACAAACAAGAATAAATCAGTTGTTTTGCTAAGCATATGAAATTCACAATTCAAAGTCTCTAAAAATTAGAAGTATCTACAAATTTTGACACATCCAAAATGGCATACACAACTCATCATGGTCAAGCCACTTACCAAATATGAAGTCATTCTGTTCATCAGCATTACTAATTAAAGTAATGAAAAATTTGAGAACATTCAA